GTTCAGCAGATTAAGTCCTCTGTGGCAACACAAACCCAATATGCTGGCATGCTGTTAAAAGAAAGTCCAATACCACAGCTGTTCCGTCAGATAAAAGGATAAAATAAAGCACTACTTAGACCGTCATGACATTCTTTTAAATATTCTGTACTTTATATGTCAGTAGTGTGCTTGATGAAGGCACCCGCATCTTTCCTGTCTGTGCATGACCCTCATCAGTTGACCTTGCTGCTGAGAACCTCGATCAAAGATGATGAACTTTCTGGTTCATCATGTGCCTGTTGTCAAATGTTTTGAAAATGTCAGTTGTGGGTCATGTTAGCTGAATTTCCGTGGGCGTCAAACTTGGCATCGTTGGCAAAAAAGGGAGGGATGGCAGTCGTGCGCTCAGCACACAACAGCCAGAACCCCTGCAGTTACTGTGAGCTAGAGCTTCCTCCTTCGAGTACGTGCGTGCACGGATGGATGTCAGTCCTGCCGTTTGCTCTTGAAGGGCACAGACCCCAAAGTCACTCAGATGAGGACTTAAGAGCTGTTCATTTGAATAAATCAGCTGACCCAGAAGCTGGGATCGGATAATAAGGCTTAATGAACGTATTAATTAAACTGCAAGCAGGTGCTCAGCAAGTTCCCACATTACCACTGTGGGTTGTGCCTTGCGGTTCTCTTATACTGTCTGGAATAATAATTTTTAAACATTACATGGTCTCTGAAGGCAATCAGGCAAATTGACACTGTTGCCCTCTTGCATTTGATAAATCTTAAGGTTGTACACCCTGCCCCCTCACTTAAAAAAAAAAGAGCATCCAAGGTACTAAACTTCATTGCAACAGATCCATAGGATTTAAAAAAATACTGGTAAATATGCTGATTAATCACTGAAGAGAAATTAGAGAAGTCTTATTCTTTTTCTGTCTTCATGAAGTATTCTGAATGATCTGCAAAGAATTATGCCTCCCTCTGAAATGATTACCAGTAAACTGGTGGTTTTAAAGAACGGGGTAACTTCAATCTGATCGCGACATCATTAATTGCAAGCAGTAAATTAAACCTCAAATCTGCTGTAAGTGGAAAAGCCAATTTTAGTCCTCTGAGGAATCTATTAATTGTCTAATGAAAATATGCAGAAGTCATCTTTTTTTTTTTTTAAACCGGAGAGCTGCATGTCAATAACTCTACTGTGCATGGACTTCAGCAGCACTCAAAGCCATCTGTCAGAGGCATCGACTGCTCTACCGTACCACAGTACTGCCATGAACATCCAGGACAAACATACCTACAAAGCATATTGCTGTCCCCGCTCCTCCTTTCTGCCAACAAAGCAGGAAAAGGGAATACTACTGCAATGATGTACAATGAAGTAATGCTACTGTAATTATAACAGGACTTGCTCGCAGTACTCCCGTTAGTGACCATCAATAGAGAGGCATTAATTTGCTCTATATCTGCCCTATCATTCGGAAAAAACAGTAGCAGCTGGTGCTGCTTTGCCCTTTTCCCAGAGAAGGGGAGAATAAGATGCAGAAGTCCCACTTACTACCCCACGTGGGCACTACTAGCACTACCGTGGCCTTGCACAGGGAAGTCGGGCGCTTGAACCACAGACTCCCAGCAGTTACTGTAGGAAAAAATGTCAGATAGCTCATCTGCGTACTGAGGATTTGATATTCCCTATTTTCAGCTTTCAGCTGATGTGTGGTGTTCCTAAACATTTACTCTGTTGCTTTGCTTCAGAGATGCCTGTAGTGATCACCGAAGTAAACCCTGAGCATTCAGACACCAGAACTTTGCAACGACATGAACCAAGTAAGTATCTGGTTATCTATTAGACTGAATAAAAAGAACTGTTGTATAACTTCAGAGGTTCTTTTACGCTCTTGTTTCCATCTGATACAGATCAGCTTCTTTGTCTGCAGATTAGAAAATGCTGATTGCTTTCATGAGCACAAACTGTCATTCTCCCAAGCCATGAAAGGTAACTTGCAACACTCCAAAGTAAGAAGTTGCTGTGAATATTTATTTTTAAATGCATAGCGTAAACAATTCAAACTGCCCTTACCAGTCTGGAAAAGGAAAAAAGATGCAGCTGATGAGTTCATGAGCATGGCAAAGGAATAGTAGGCCTTTATTGAAAAAACGTGCAGGTAGCGCCGGTTGCCAGCAGTGGTGCGGCCAGCGTTGCTGCTGCACAGCTCACGGGGCAGAGTGCCCGGAGTCAGAGCTGAGCTAGGAGACACGCTCCCCCAGCGAGGCTGGGTGACGGGCGCCCAGGCAGGCAGCGGGAAGGCGGTCCTGGGCGCTGGGCACGGGACCAGCACTGTCAAGGGTAGGATAGAGAGAGAGGTTGAGGGTAGGGAGAAAAGGATGGAGGCACAGCACAGAATTAGCTGCCACAACGGCGGCAGCAGCTGACTGCACCCGTAACTGCTGCTGTCATCGCAAGAACTGAAGGTGTCATCGGCGGAAGTTCAGCGAACGGAGTTTCTACACACGTCTCAAACACGTGTTGTTGTCAACAACAATGGAAGATGAAAAGTGCAAGGAAATGGCGTAATTTGGAATGAACTCTTAAACTAACAAAATGAAAACCTGTGACAATTACTGTAGCAAAACTATTCAGGTTCTTCATGTAACAATATACGTTGTAAAATAAACACAGTGAAAAGATTAAAAGCACTGCATTAATTTGTTTCAACTGACAAGGACTTACTATTTTATATGTCCTTTCCTACATTAAGAACAAAAGAAAAGAAATCTTAACCTTTTGAAATGTGTTCAAACAACTTCTCAAAGTTTCACCATGTCTGTAAATAAATTTCATTCTATTTATTTCCAAAGCCATTTTCATGAATTAACAACAAACACTTATTGAAGAGATCTTAAATTTATTAGGTATTTTTATTACAACGTTTATAACAAACAAGACAAATATGTACTCAGAAAAACTGGACCCAGTGTATCAAACAGTTATTTTTTTCATATTTATACTTTTAATATATTCAGTATTTCTATAAATTCAGGTAAATTAATTATGGAGTTTTATAAAAGTGTATCTGCTTCAGATCACTATGCACTTTTCCAAAACACCACAGTATCTACTGCAAGGAATTTTCACTGGCTTTCCACCACTGTTTTTAACAGATTACTTCATGGTAGGAAACTCCCTATTTGGAATTATTATGCATTCGATTAAAACCCTGTAAACTTAAAGTAACTTTCCCAAGGCAACTCTGTCTCTTACATGCATGTTATACTTCTGGCCTGCCTATATTGTTTTAAGTGACTGCAATATAACAGCCTCTTCAAATTTTGTATAATTTGTGGATGTATTACACAAAGTGGCAAGATTTATTACTTTTAAAGTGGTGTTTTAAGTAATTCATTTCATCAGTCAATTTTTAGTCCATGTGACCACTTATACTGAAGCCAGTTGCATTACTAATTAAAACATTCAGTAGCTATGCATATACAGGTGACTTAAGTCTTTAGATTTTCCCTGAATGTGCAATATTACATACACAATCTTGACAGACACTTTAGTTGTGCATTTTATAACAGAAAATTAAGAGGTTATTAAAGCCTGCGTATACTAGATACAACGTGTAAGGGGGGTACTGGTCATACTATTTTGAATTTTAGCGTAACATTTATTCCATGGTGGGTTTTTGAATATGAAAATCATCTTTGCTCTTGCAATAGTTTCTGCAAAAAGCCACACAGCCAAAGTCCTGATAAACATTCATGCCTATAAATTATATCAATTACTGGAAGAATTTTAATACAGTAGGCTTGTACCAAAAAATATACATTTTCCATAAAATCAAAAAATAAAATATCTGAAAATGTTCTGTGATATATCTAGAAAAAGAGGAGGAATCCAGTCTTAAAAGTTAAATTCTGCTGTCACATACACAATTTAAATTGAGATCACCGCATGGTATTTGTACAGCTGACAGAAGAATTTGACTCAGCTTGCAAGATTAAAATGCAAAGGTTATGAAAAGTATGCAAACTCTTATTTCAGGAGTTTAACTTTGTCCTTTAGAACTTTAAATTTGGGATTGTTATTCACTTTCTTATTAAATATGACTAGAATATCCTCTTCTGATCTGTGATGTTCACCAGCTACTGCATAATACTGAGCTATAACCTGCACAAAGACAGAGGAATGGTTTTGAGTTAGTAAAGATGATTCTACTTTAAGCAATAATACATTCATGTTACTGTATCAAAAGTAGCATGGAATCCATTATGCTATTACTCCTTTGCAGAATTAGCACTGAATTTCTTCTGTAGTCCAGTAAGCAATAAAGAACATGTCCTTCAGTTGACATTCTGTCAATTGATATTCTATTAAATAATGGCAAACTTTTTTGCTTATGTGGGGCAGATTTTGTAACTTGAGCATTACAGGAAGAAATTCACAAGACCAAAGGAGATTAAAAAACAAATGTTATACAGTACCTTTTTTCTGAGTTTTTTAATTGAAATTTCATTGTCTGGAGCCTGTTTCAGAACAGCTTTGATGGTTCCCTTCCAGTTGAATTTACCTAGAAAATAATTAGGTGTACAACATCATTAGTAAAATTAGGTATTTCCAGGTCTTCCTCTCTAGTAGGAGCCAGCCTAATTTTGGAACCAGTTCAGCTATCACAACAGTTCATTGTTATCTTACTGACCCTACAACAGCAGGGTGTCTTAAGCATAAAGTCAGGTAGGCTGTTTCTGGAGATTGTAATGGGATACACTTGAAGAACCAACATACTACTTGAACAACCAGGACTGCTTTTACTTAACTTGAGTGCTTCAGCTGTTAAGCAGCAGCTCTTCCGTAACACAGGAAGAGTTGAGAAGATCCCGTCTCCTCATCCTTAGAGCACAGGTAGCGAATTTCACACAGGACCCACTTCAGGGATCATTAATGGGTAGTTTCCAAATACACAATCTGTATGTTCAAGTACAGACATTCCCCAACAGTACTAGTGTGTTGGACGATAGGCATAAGTAAGTTTATCTAAGCATAAACTAAGGTCAACTGAAGTCCAATTTACAATTCACTGAGCAAACATGGGGATGTAAGAGATGTAAGAGAGCTGTTACCCTTTTTCCTCTATGTTGGCTAGCGTGCACGGCAGCAGGGAAGAGACCTGCTGTGGTGAAACAAACATGCCAAAATCCTCAGTGCCCAGTGAAAGCAAGCACAGGCAGAGGCTGCCAGCACAGCAGAAGCAACAAATGAGGGAAGTCATTCAGCATCTGGTGTTACGTGTAGCACAGGCTACTTACTCTGGAACAGATACGTATACTGAATACACACATGTACATGTACTGAGGGACCATTTATTTCATGGCTTGCTGCAAAAGCGCCATCTTATATTCTGCGCTAAGCCTTCTGCAGAATAGTTTTGTAACTATCTAAACTCCCCCTTTAAGAATACCTTTATCTGTTCCCACATTTTCTTCGTTGCCATTGGTGTTTTCTGTTTCCACGTCTTCAGAAACGTTTTCAGTTTTCATTCTCTTCGTTGTGATGTGAGGTTCCTCTAGAGATGGAATTGCATAAACATACACAAAAAATTGTAAAACTAGAAGAAAAGTTCTGACGTGACCTGAAGTTTCTGTTCTTGTAACACGCGTTTATATTTGCTAGGAAGTTCAGATTTTATAAAAGGACTGTGCATCCACAGTGTTAAAAAATAATCTAATTTGTATATGTAACTTACTAAAAAAATTCTACTGAAGTAGATTATTGAGCTTTACAGCACTGAGAAAAAGCATCCTGAAAACAAGAATATAAGGTGTAGGATGGATACCTTCTGCGTGTTTATGTTTGCGTTTCTTTACATTTCTTTCTTCTTCTATTTCACTCTGATGGCCATTTCCATTGACTTCAAATTCATTCTCCAAGCTCTCCTTTCCTTTTTTTGACTTTTTACTCTTTTTTACTTCTGACTGGTTTTCTAATTTCAAGTCTTTTTTCTCCTTCTTTTTGTTCTTTTGTCTCTCTTCTTTTCGTTCTCTTTTACTCTTTTTCCTCTCAATTTTATCATCTGTAATTCCATTTTCTTCTGCTGTTGTTTTTTCCCCAGTTTCAGCAGACTGCCCCTCTTTCTTCTGTTGTGGTTTGTCTTGTTCTTTTTCACTTGAAATCTGTTGTTGAAAGACAGATTATTACAATTTTTACATGCCTTTTTGACATTGCAACTTTTCTCTACTACACCATTCATGAAGAGCACAAATATCCTGTATTAAATTAAATTGCTTACACATAGTGACACCAGTTACCTGAGAAACAGCACTAAATAGTGTGGCTGATTCTTCTGTTGACTTAACAGCCTTTTTTATTAACATTAATATCAAAGCTATGCCTGCACTTTTCCTCCAAAGAAGCTGGGGGGAAGAGGAGAGCAATCTTTACATCAACAGAGAAGTAAGCTTCTGCAACCGCTTTCTGGTAGCAGTAATAGATGTAAGCAAACAACCAAAACAACACCCTACCTAAATGTGCTAAACTAGTACTGAAAAAGCAAAGAACTGGGTGCTGAGAAAAAAGTCAGTGGGAGGAATCTGCACTACAAACTGGAAGATCTCATCTCTCTCCACTAATAAGATAGGTAAACTAAGTGCTGTTCATTTCCCACTCCCATATACATTAATTTGAGGCCAATAAAAGTTCTGAAAAGACCTTTTGTATTCCTTCTTAGTGCTTTATAAGAGATTGGAACCAAAGATAATAGTAGTGTTTTTCCCTTTCCTTACGTACTAAAACCATAGAATAAAGTTAAAGTAGCCTTCTGATTAGTACAACATGTCACTGTGTCCAAGTTTTCAATCACAACCTGCCCAGTATGCACTACTTCACCAACAATTTGTTCCACAAATTAGCATTACAGTTACATTATAACATAATCCATTGTAACAATGAGAGGCAGTATTTCTTCTAACATCTGCAAAAGGTGTCTGAAAGGTTTTTCCTTCCAGCATTTTTGACTGCATTCCTGTTCTACGATGTTGTACCTTTAACTTAACTTACATTTCTGGTTGCATCAGAGAAAACATCCCACACTTGGTCTTGCAAAGTGCTGTCAGTAATTCTCAAACTGTTCTTCATCCAATTCTGTGCAGGAAAAAAACAACAACTGAAAAAGTGCAACTCTTTTTTTTTCTTGATTACCATGTATTTGGTTCTTGTTTTTATTTTTCATTTAAGAATCTAATAATTTTTTCTGATTAACATCTGGTTAGATGTTTACTCTCTATGAATCTCTTAAACCTCCATGCTAAATTGTTTTGCATAATACCACTGTACTGTTACAAGGCTATACCATGCCTCTCAATTGCCTCACCAACAGTAATCCGGAAGAGGTAAATATATAGAAAAGATTATCCTCAAGCTTTTGAGTACAGCTGGTTATAGCAATGTCCTATCAAACGTTATGACTGTTCTCATAAGTTGAATCATTAAGGATCCAATCTTATTTATTTGTGTACTGGACAGATGGTCATGCTCCTAAATGGCCACCTGAGTTTATTACAGAAAAGTAAAATTTAAGCAAATATCTCAATGTAAAAATGTAAAAGTTCTTGGGGCTATTGCAGGAGTTCCTGC